ACCCGTCTGATATTTGCTGGCGGGTTTGCCGTGATAAGCTCTGCTCCTCAGAGCGCGATGTGATGTCTTCGTGGACATGCAATGAACCGTCGATGATTCGTCGCAGCGCTTGCTGAAGAACTTCCATTTGCCGTCCCTCTGGGTCAGGATGTACAGAGCTCAACCACTGGTGCGAAACAAATATGACAAACATACCTGGATACCACTGGTGCAGTAAGCCCTTCTCTTGCAGCATGTGATGGGGCTCTGGAGGGCCCTTCATTGTCAAGAAGTCACACACTTTCACAGCCCACAGAGGGAACCGGCACTCGTGCACCGCTGACTGCGTGCGCGTCTGTGTGTCATCAGGCGAGCAGATTGAGGCGCCCATGGCGCAAAACGGAGATTAGAAATCGGGAGTACTAGGAACTGTTGCTGTGGCCCGGAAGAGCGTAGCATGCAGAGTCACCCGTGGCCAGTACCCCGGCCACCACAAGCACGGATTACAGGCTTCTCATGGCACTTTATCAAGCTCGAGCTGGCTGCGCACTCTTCAAGGTATTCAAACTATGAGACAACTTCCTATACATGTGGTCCAACACAGTACTTGGAGGGTCAGGGGGACTTAGTAAGTGGCTTAAAACCCTCTAATCCGTATAGTGGGACTGTTATCCCCCTTGTTAACATACTTATCAAGTCCCCCGACCCTCCAAGTAAGGGCTAAGCCCTAGACCCTAAAGTCAAGGATTATTCGCACATGCCACTACTGCTGCTATGACTGTCGTTTGTCCGTACAGGTTTCACCTCTTACTCCCAACCTCAATTAGCTGTTTAGGGTTTTAGGGTTTAGGGTTTGGGGTTTTAGGGTTAGGGTTTCATACCTCGACCGAAAATGGACTTTAGGGATTTTTTTCATTGGGGCTTAGGCTTCAAGCTTTAGCGGGCTGTTTGCTTTTTCCAAACGAGCTACAGTCATTATTTCCTGCACATGTTAATGGACGTGGGCACCTTCTTGGGGACTATGTGAAGGAATATATACTCTCTCTTCCCCAATAACCAGGCCTAAAAAAGGGAAGCACAAAACCCTAAACCCGAGATAAGTACTAGACTACTACAGAGGGACCCATCTGTCCTTGGTGAAGGGCCCCTTAGTAAGGCTAGGGTTTGGCGCTAGCTGATGTAATCCCTGCAAAACCCTACATAATCCTAGGTTTAGGGTTTAGGGTGTTTCCATTCCATTTCCCATTTTCTGTTCCGTATGATTTTCCACTATAGAGATGTCCATTGTCTTCCATTTCCTACTATTGCCCTGCGAGGCCCAACGTCCTCACCATGCTGCAGCTCAAAATTGAGCCGCGTTGTTCTTGCACAACCACATACTTGGAGGGTCAGGGGGATTTAATGAGTAGGCTCATCCTGGGGTTATAGGGGTTATTACCCCACTTAGTAAGTTCCCCTGTCCCCAAACCCCAAACCCTAAAGCTTGTAATAACTAAGTCCCACTGACCCTCTAATCACACCCACACACGCACGACACCAAAGTCCTAAACCCAAAGCCCTAAACCCTGAAGCATGCCTATAGCCAAGCTATAGGACCAAGAACAGCACTCATTGCCTGCTGGAAGGGGCCACACTTCAGGTTCGGTGTAAGTTATTAATCCAAAAAAGGTTCTAGCTTGGGTACTGCCCCGTCCCAGTAACAGTCTATATTAGGGGTCCTATTAAGGGCTATATATAACCATATTATACTTATTATCCAACGGTTACTGAGGGGGAGTAGTACTCAATGTCTAGGGTTTAGGGTTAGGTTAAGGCCTTCACGCAAAGTCTTAAACCCTAAACCATAAACCCTCAACCCTAAACCCTTGTGCGCCCAAGGTGAGTGAAGGGTGTAGAAACTCCCCTTTTACCTGCCTCCCACGCATGCCGAACTCAACCCTGAGTTTTGGGACCCTTATATAAGCCCAATAGTAGGGTTTAGGGGTTAGGGTTAGGGATTAGGGTTTAAGGCTTAGGGTTCAGGGTTTAGGGTTTAGGGCCTAAACCGCAAACCCTAAACCTAAACGATAGGCCTTGGACCCTACATGAGCTATAGGCTCAACTCCCCCTTAATAACCCCTATAGTAGTAGTCCCCGATATAATCCCCCATATCCCCATATACCCCCCTTCAAGGAGTTTAGACCCGAAACCCTGACCTAAACCCTAAATCCAAAACCCTAAACCGTGTAACCCCCTTTAAGGATTTTGGATTATATCCCCCTTTAAGGATTTTGGAATATATCTCACATGAACACGCCTCGGCATAGCGGGTGCCGGAAACGTCTTCCGAGCGCCGATGCACTGCTGCACCCAAGCAGGTTTCACTCTGCTGCTTGGCCTAGGGGTTTAGGGTTCAGGATTTGGGGTTTAGGGTTTCAGGTTTAGGGGCTTAGGGTTTACCTGTTGCCAATTTCCAACAGTCTGGTGGGTTATACCTACTGAATTTTTGGCTAAATACTAATCTGCGATGATTGGGGTTGCAGGTAGGGCTTGTAAAGGCTTTCGGTTTTGAGGGTGTGTGCTTTGAGGGTTCAGGGCTGAGGGCTTGGGGCTGAGGATATGAGAAGAGTGTTTGAGGCCAAGCAGAAGCTCCCTTTGTAAGCCAACGTCAGTGAAAAGCCGTGCCCGCCGCAAAGCTTACTGGTGCTTAGTACAGATTAAGCGATTATAGAATATGGGGACTATATGGGGATTATATTCCCTTATTCCCTACGGGCCCGAGTAAGAAAACCACCCTACTAGTATCTCTCAGGGCTTTGAGACATCTCATGGATACAGATCTCTCTTCCCTCACGTCGGGTGACAAAGGGCAAAAGTGGTGGTACAGGGTTTCAAGGTTTTGCAGTTTTCTGTTTGCACTGCAGCGTGCTGTTATGTGTGGCATGCTGCGTGTCGGCACGAAGTTGCATATCCCGGAACAATGTACGGCGAAGGTGGCAAAGGTAGCAACGTCTCCTGTTGTGGGGCATGTGCCGCAACAACACACAGCCCCAGGTAGCATATTGTATCGCCTTGATAAGTCCATAATGACCCTGTTATAACCCGTCATAAGCAGGTTACCTAGCCAATCAGTAATACTTGCGTCCCACAAAGTAAAGACCCTGAACCTCAGAGACCTTAACTCTCTACAACTGGTACCCTTACTTGAAAGGTCAGTGGACTTAGTAAGCAGGTTATAATCCATCTAGTAACCTAAGTCATCCCCATTGTTGGCCTACTTATTGCGTCTCCCTGACCCTCCAAATACACGGTGCAAAGACACCTTGGGGTCTTCCCAGCTCTCGTGGAAGGCTGCCTGCTTTGTGGGACACTGGGATGACTAATGCTTAGGTAAACATATTATGAATAGTTACCATATAGGGTCATCATAGAGTTAGTCCTTGGAGGGTCAGCGGGACTTAGTAAGTAGGTTAAAGGGGAGCATAACTGGGGTTATGTGGGCCAGGGTTTATTAATAGCCTTACTAAATCCCCTTGACCCCCCAAGTAGGAGGATAATTATAGCACATTACCTGGATAAGTCAAGTTCCTTGTTGGTTTTGCTGAAATAGAACTTAAAGATTCTGTCCAGCAATGAGCAGTTCATCCCTAAACCCTAAACCGTTCGCAGGCCGCACGGTTTAGGGTCTCCGGCTTCTAGACAATCTAACGGAATGAGGGTGTAGAATTCGAGTAGCAGGTTTAGGGTCAAGGGTTTGCCTGAAACAGGGATTCGTTTCTGCTAGGGACCTGAATCTAGGGTGTTCTTAGTCTACTCGTCCTGCGGAAGTTCTCGACTTACAGAGTCAGGGTTCAGGGCTTGGAGTTCAGGGTTAACCTTTTTGTATGCATATATATATATACAGGCTTATTCCTAGAAAATATAAGCCCTAGACGTTGAACCGTCAGCCCCAAAGCGAGGGTGTAGCCTGTAAGGATTCGATCTTGCCCGGGGCGAGGCCAAAAACCCTGTACCCTAAGCCCTGAACCCTGAGCCTTGACCCCTAAATCCTGAAGCCTGAACCCTAAACCCTATATGCTCTGAACCCTAAACCGCGGGGGGTGCCATGTGCGGAGCTTACAGCGCGAAAAGACCTGCTTACCTCTGGCTAGCAGGGAGATGGACTGGGGTTAAGGGTTGGGGATTAAGGGTTAAGGATTTGGGGTTTAGGGTTAATGGGGTTTAGGGTTTGGGGGGTTATGGGGTTCAGGGTTTTGGGGTTACAGGGTTTAGGGAAATGGGAAACGACTACATTGTTGAGATTTGTACGAGAACTACACTGCAAGGATCCATTGCTTCATTCCTTGCTGGCCGGAGGTAAGCCGTGGACCTAAAGAATAGGGTTTAAGGGGCCAAATACCTATTCATGGCTACTTAATAGGGTTTAAGGGGCCAAATACCTATTCATGGTATTTGGGCCCTAAAGCCCTATTACTTGGGTCCTTGGAGCCTTAGGGTTAGCCTTTAAGGTTGAGGAGTTGCCAGGTGGTTTATTCAGGTACTCGGAGAGTCAGGGGGGACTTAGTGACAGGGGATGTTATGTGGGTCATAGGGTTTTCAATGTACTTACTAAGTCCCCGTGACCTCTCAACAAGGTAGTATGTCCTGAGAGCATACATAGGCTCATGCCCTAAACCCTAAACCCTAAACCGCGTCGGACTCTGGGTTTGCGCACGACAGGATGCAGGGTGTGGATTCTACTCTCAGGTCGATCAGTCCTTAATTTTTCGCGGAACACGAGAGACTAAACCCAAATCTAAGAATCAAAACCCTAAAGCCCCAACTCTGACTCCTCCTGGTGGTTAGTACAGATAAGGCAGTATAATCCTTATGTCATCCAGTCCGTATTACTAAGAGGCAGTGAGACACCCTAAACCCTGAACCCTGAACCC